ATATATTTATTATTATTAGTATTAGTATAAATATAAATATATATATATTTATATATAAAAAAATAATTATATATATATAAAATATATTTATATTTATATTTATATATTTTTTTTATAATACATATATAAAAAAGCTTATATATATTTTTTTTTTTTAATTATTTTATTAATATTATAATATTTAAATATAAATATTCATTTTTTAAAATAGGTAATAAATTAAAAACTTTACATTATCTTTATTTAAACACTAAAAAAAAATATGATTAGAATATAATATATTATATTTATATATATGTAATTTTTTTTTTTTTTTAAAAACAAATATAGAAATATAATGAAAATAATTTTATATGCATTAAATAAAGTATTTGTTTATATATATGTTTATATTTTTTTAATTTTTTTGAATAAATATTATATAAATTATTAAAAATAAATTTATTTTAATGAATTCTTATTTATATGCAAGTCTTAAAAAAAAAGAAAAACCATAATAATAGAATATTTAATAACCAGTTCCTTATACATCTATTATAAATCAAATACCTGTATAAAAATACAAAATTTTAAAATATTAAATATAATTATAATATTAAAAAAAATTATATAAAAAAATAAATAAAAGTTAACAAAAGCACTCGATAAATATCCTTAATTTTTTGATGAATTTAAAATATAAGTAGTTCAAAAAAATATTAATAGAATAGATAAACTTCCCCTAAAATTCTAAAATATAGAAACATTGTATTTATCAAATAATAATTTAACAAGCTTAAAAGGAGTTACATAATTTAAAAATTAAGAACATTAACATTAGCAAATAATGAAGTTATATTTTTTATATATAAATATATATATATATATGTATTTTTTTTCATAAAACTAAAGTTATAAGTTGATGATATTGTATTTTATTTGTAATAATTATAATATTTAGAATGCTTAAATTTGTAAGGAAATCCTATTGAAAAACATCCGAACTATAAAATCTTAATAATAACAAGTTTACCTAATTTAAAAATTTTAGATGGTAAAAATATAAATGAAAATAAAAAAATGTGGGCAGAAATAAAAATGAAAAATTAATAAAGTCTTTTAAATATAATGTGTAAAAACTATTCAGAAATAATTAAATTAAATTCAGTAAAATTTTTAAAATATATAAATATATATATATATATGTATATATATATATTTATATATATACATATTTATATTTGATTTAAATAGTTTTAAAAAAGATTGAACATTAATTAAGAATTTCTTTTAAAACATAATAAATATTGTAAAAACATAAATAATATAGATTTTAATTTATTTTAGTAAATGTTTGATTTTTAAACATATTTATGTGATATTTAAAAGGAAGATTTATAAAAAGAATTATTATAAGACGTTCTTTTAATATTTAATAAATTACAAGAAAATAATAATAAAATTGAAGATAATTATGAATTTGCATTTTAAGAATTAATTAATTAATAAAATTAAAAAATTGCTGAATTAGAAGTTCTAATATAAAAAAAAGTTATTTTATTTAATTAATTTTCTTAAGATTAAAAAATTGTAATATTCAAAATAAAACACACATATATAAATATATATATATAAATAAAAAATAAAATAGAGAAATGTTACTTTTTCAAATGAAATTTAATAAAATAAATAAAATTAAAATAATTAAATTTCTAATTCTTAAAAATCATTTTTTAGTACTAAAAAATCTTTTACAAAAACTGAATTTTCACCAAATAAAACAGTCCCAACTCCTTGTAAATTAGACAAAAATCCCTATAATACTTCCTTAACTATATAAAATAATACTCCATTTAAACGTAAAAACAAAGAATTGGAAGAGTTAGTGTATTAATTGTAGAAAAAACTAGAATAAAATGAAGAATATAATCGCATTTTGCTTGAAAAAAATGTTTATATGTAAAAAAAAATCGAAGAAAATTCTAACTTTGAAGGGCTTTTTTTAAAGGAGAAAATTTAAAATTCTGAAAATAAAATTCAAAAAGAAAAAATTGAATAAATATTGAAAAAAAAAGAAGAAGAAATTTAAATTCTTTTAAAATAAAATTATCAAATTAGTGATTTAGAAAAAGAAGTTCTTTTTTGGTCTGAAAAATAAAAGTAAAATTTAAACTAAATTTAAGTCTTGGAAAATGAATTACAAAAAAATGATAAAATAGAAATTCATAATGATAAAAGAAGACTCAAATTAGGCTTTTTAATGCTATTTTTGGCATCTTAAAGATCTAAATAAATTAATTTTTTTATAAATAAAGTCAGAAAAATAGCTTTAGAAGGAGTTTTTGGAACTTGGAGGAGGTTTTGTATTATCTAGAAGAGGTTAAGAAGTAAAGAGAAGCAAAAGAATGTTTTTTATATGAAAAAATATGTTAGTTATTGGAAGAAAAATATATTATTTATTCATAAGATGAAGTATTTTATAGAAAAGTAGAAAATAGAAGATTAGAGAGATGTTTTTTTATGTTTAAAATAAAATTTGGGGTTTTAGTTTAGGATGAAATAATTAGAAAAGAAGATTTTTTAATTTTGGAAGGAAAAAAATTTAGTGAAAAGTTTAAAAAGTTGGAAGATTTTTTTAAAAGGGAATTGTTTAGATTTTAATAAGGAAAAAATTTTAAGTTTAAAAAGTTAAAATTTTTATATATAAAAAAGTAAAAGAAAAATATGGAAATTTTGGAAGTTTTTTTTTTATGAAATTTAATTAAAGAAAAAAAATTTAGAGGAAAAAGCTAAAAATTTTTTAAATAAAAAATTGAAAAAAAAATTATTAGAAGTTTTGTAGAAAAATAAAAAAAAATATTTTTAGAAATATGTTAAAGTTAATAAATAAATCAATTTAAAAATAAAAAAAAAACTATAATTTTTATTTTAATTTTGGAGAAAAACATTTCTAGTAATTTCGTAAATTAAAAAATAATAAAAAAAATAATAATAAAAATACTTTTTAAAATAAACGATTAATAAATGGTATAAAGCTTTATTAGAAAAAAAGTAAAAATAAAAATAAAATTATAAAATACAAAAAATAAAATATAATAATATTAATAATATATAATATATATATATATGTATATATAATTTATATATATATATATTATATTTTACAAATATATAATTTTAAATATTTTAATATAAAATTATAAAAATATTCTTATATTTATTAAACATGACATATATATTTATATTAATTTGTATTTATTAAATAATGTTTTATTCATTTATTTTCAATAAAAATTAGAAAAATCTTTAAGTTAGAATAAAATTCAATTTTTTTTAATAAATTTTGTATATAAAAAAAGACATTTATTTCTTTAAAAAATTACCTATAAAAATTAAACTAATAAAAGAATCTTATATTATAATTCAGATAAATTTAAAATTCTAAAAAGCTAGAATTATTTTTTAGAAACATTATTAATTATTAAAAATTAAAATTTAAAATTGTTTAAAATTTACTATTTTTTTAAAAAAAAGCTAAATTAAATACATTTAATAAATTGAAAAAACATTTCTAAAAAAAAAAACATTCTAAAAAAATTTTAAGAAAATTACTAAAATATAAAAAGTAAAAATTATAGAAAATCTTTGACTTTTGGCTCACATTTATTTAAAAAAAAAAAAAAATTAAAAATTTAATTTTTACTAAAAATATTATAAAAGCTTTCAAAACTAAAAGATAATGTTTTTTTGCTCTCTATTAATAAATAAATTAGGCCTTAAAATAAAAATTAGGTAAAATAATGCATGAAAAACAACTCCTTAAAGCAGATTTTGAATAAAGTAATCGTATTTTATAAGAATTAGAGGAAGATAAGGCTGAAATAATTGAAAATATAAGAAAATTAATGGATTAACATGTACTTTTATAAGAAGGATTAGCCCAAAAACAAAATGAAGTTCTATAATTAAACTTAAAGCTATAAAAAAGAAGTTCCTTTTAATAAGAAAATGAATAAAAAGATGATTTTTGTGTTGAATAAAATAATTTATTTGAAAAATAAAATGATATAAAAGAAATAAATTTTTTAAAGGAAAAAATAGAAAATTTAAATTTAATTTTAGAAAAAAAAAACATTGAAATTTAAAATTTTTAAAAATAAAATTTACATTTTTAATAGGCTTTAAAAAAAAAGTTTAAAAAAAATGAAAAAAAGATTAAAAAAAATGAAGAAATTTAAAAAAAAAATGAATAAAATTTATAATAAAGTGATTAGGTTTAAACAAAACAAGATAATTTTTTAAATAATGAAGAAGATTTAAATTAAAATGAAGATTTATTAGAAAAAACATAATAAAATGAAAATAATTTATTTAAATATAATACAGAATTTTCTACTTTTAAGAATTAAAAAGCTTTCTAAACTGAATTTTCGGAAGATAAATATATTTTAGATGATTTGGAAAAAAGTAGATCGAATACAAAAATATTAAAAGCTTAATTTGAGTAAAGAATTAAATACTTAAGTGAGAATATATAAAAAGATTTGGAAGAAAAAAATTATATTTTATGATATTTTATATTTACAAATAATATATTTATTAAAATATTAATATTTTATTTTTTATATAATATTTATTATAAAAAAAAAAAAAATTAAAAATGATTAATAATAAATTTTATTTAATATAATTTTTTTTTATTTTAATATATAATTATAATGTAATGATAATAAATTAAAAATTTAATATTTAAAAATATTTAAAATTAATATATTGTATAATTTTATAAATATATAAAAATTATTCATTTTTTTCTTTTATCTTTTTAAGTTTTTTTTGATTATTATGTTTATTTTCTATCCTTTAAAAAAATAAATTAAAATTAAAAAAAAATATAATAAAGTATATAATATGTATAATTTAATATTTATTTAAATATTTATATAGTTATATATTTATTTATATATTTATATAATTATATATTATATATTTTTTTAATAATTTTTTTTTTTATTTATATACTTCTAATTTTTCTAAAGCTTTTTTTCTAAAATCATCTACTGTTAAAATTCTATCTCCTTCAGCTTCTTCTTCGTCAAATTCATCATTATCTATTTTTATGTATTTGTATTTTATATTTATTTAAATATTTTTTTTCAAATTTTATATTATCTATATAATTTTAACCTAATGCTTCTTATTTTTATTTATTTGAAAGTAATGCATTCGAAGCATTTTAAAGCATATTTTAATAGCTTTCATTATTTCCTTCTGCATGAATAGCTGAATATGCTTATAATATTTAATTAACTTTATCTTCTATAATTCCTAAAAATATCATCATATTACCATCTGTTACAGTATGAGATCCTATTTAATTAAATAAAAATATAAATACAATTATTTTAATGTTTAAAAAACCAGCCATTTCTTTAGCAAAAGCTTTATCACATTCTATTGTATTAAATAAAGTATCAATCCAATTAGTTAAACTATTAATAAGTTTTTAAGCATCATGTCTTCTAAATTCAAATTATTCACTTTTTACTTCTGCTCTTACCATATTTTCTTCGAAATCTTTTATTTTACGTTTATATTATACATCTAAATTTGTTCCTCCTTAATAATGCTCTATTTCTAAATTTTATTCGGCAATTTATTTTTCTAAATCTTCAATTTCGTTGGATAGTTCATTTACATATTTAAACATTTAGAAATTCTAAATATAGAAATATGTAAAAAAAACGTATATTTATATATATATATATATATATATATATATATTTATATATATATATATATATAATATATTTGTTTATATAATTTACTTTCTCCTCATTTTTAATAAAAATACTAACTAATTTTTCAAAATCAGTTACTTTAGTTGCGGCTTAAATTTTGGCAAAATCTTCTTCATATTTTTATATTTTATCTAGCATAGCTTAATTGATATTTCTATCTTTATATAATCTAAAAAATACATATATATTAATATATATATATATATATATATATTATACTTTTAATTATTATTTCTATTTAATTTTTCGGAATCTAACATATCATTGTTTATTTTAGTCTCATCCCTATTTTTTTCTGTTAATTTTATATAATCGAGTGCTTTTTTATTTTTTTCCATAATATGTGAAAGGTCTCTTAAATCTTTTTCGAAATTCTCAGATTCTTTTTTCGCTAACATTTTTAAATTTTAGATTTAATCATTAGCCTTATCTCTTTCTTCATATGCAGTATTTGCAGTTTCTATTATATTTGCCATTTGTTTTCTTTTTTCATGTAATTCTTTTTCTAATTTCTTATATAAATTATCAAATATAACCCTTTCTCTTCTTAATGAATCTATCTATTATCTTAATTATTTATTAACAGCAATAGCCTCATTAAATTTTTAATTAGCTTTATCAAGTCGGTTTTCTAAAATCTTTATTTGTTTACCTAAAGAACCTTCATTTTCAGCACCGGCATTATAACCACCAACATTCTGCTTTTTTTCAATTATTTTTTTCTAAAAATCTGCTATATGCTTATCTATTTCAGTCTAATTTCTCTTCTCTTGTTCTATGTTTTATTTTAACTCTTCAATTAAGTTGTCTCCGCCAGAAGATTTCGCGTACATTGTGTTAGATTACAACTTTTGGGAGTTCATTTTTGATATTATGTCTTTTAGTTATTGATTCTCGTTTTTAAGCTTGTCAATTATACCTCGTTGCTTTTTTATTAAGGCTACTGTTTCTTCTGCATAGGCTTTTCGATCAGATTCTAAGTTACGGAATTTTCGTTGGTATTCTTCAAGCTCTTCCATCTTTTTTTTTCTTTCTTCTAAATTTTTATTTTTAATTTTTTTGGTATGTTATTTAAATTTTTTTACGATTTTCGTTCATTTTTTATTTGTAAAATTTTATTATTAAATATGATTTTAGGTATATATATAATTTATTATATTAAAGATAGTAATATTTTTTTTTTAAAAATAATAATTTATTAATAAAATATATATTTATATTAATTTAGTAGTTTCCTTTTTTAAAATACATATATATATATATAAATATATATATATATATATTAATATTATATATAAATATTTTATATTTATTATTTTCAAATATTAATATCATTTTTTAAAAATAATATCATTATAATATAATATAAAATTTAAATTTTTTTATAATAATTGATTATAAATATGTTTTTATATTTTTAAAAATGATTAACTTTTTTATATTTATATAATTAATTTATTATAAATAAATTTTATATTAAAATTTTAAATTGTTATTTTTTAATAATAATAATTAAATTTTATAATTTATTATCTTTTATTTTTTTTATCTTTTAAAACAATATATATTTATTCATTATTCTTAATATTTTTTTTTTATTATCATTATTATAATTTTTTTTTTTTTTATTTTTATAAAATTATTACTATAATATTTAATTATCTTTTTATTTACAAATATAATATTTTTACTATTAAAAACTTTATAATTAAATATATATTTAATATTATATAATTTTTTATTTATTATATTTTTTAAATAAATATTATTCAATTTTTTTATATAAAAAATAAAAAAGTCTTATATAAACAAAGTTTTTTTTTTTATTTTTTTAAATCTTTATAAATATCTAATATTTAATATTTATTATTATTTTTTTATAAAAAAAATAATATTGATTTTTTGTTTATTATAACTTAGAAGAATTTTCATTTATTATTTATTGGGTTTATAAATAAAAATATTTTTAATTAATCTACTACATAAAATTTTTTATATAGCATTTAATATTTTTTAATAATATATATTTCAAATAAATATTATATTTAAATTAATTAAAAATATATATATTTATAAAAGATATTATATTTTACTAACTTATATTATTAAGAAATTTCGAAATTATTAAATTGGATTTTTTCTATTTTTAATGCTAAGTAATGAAATCAAATTTTTAAAAGAATTAAATAAAATATTAAATTTCACTATTTATAATACAAATAGTTATAATAAAAAAATTATAAGAAAATGAATATCATAAAATATATAATAAATTCAATATTATATGATTAAATAGTAAAAACTTTTTTAATCTATAAGTTCTTAAACATTTTAAATTTAATTTTATTTCATATATAGAGTTAATTTATTTATAAAAAACAATTAAAACGATAAAGAAAATTTAACCAAAAATATTATAAATATTATGATTTATTTTTTATTATATATATATATATTTTTATATATATATATATATATATATATTATATATATAATATAATAATAATTTTTTTTTTTAATAAAAAAGAATTTTCAATTTTTTATAATTAAAATAAATAATATTATTCTATATATTTTTTTAAATAAATAAAGTAATTAAAAAATATGTTTTAAGCAATAAAAAAAGTTCTTTAGTATAAAGTATATTATATATGTAATTTAATATCAAATTATATCTAATCTATTTAAAATACATTAATAAAGAAATAGGAAGAATTAAAAGATAATTATTAAAACAATTTATCTTAAGGATACGAGGTTATTAGTTTTTAAATATAAGAAAGTTATAATTTACCAAGAATAAAAGTTTATACAGGAAAACTAGAAGAAGAAGAGTTTGAAATAAAAGAAGAATAAAGAATATAATTAATAGATGACGAAAAAGAAGAAAAACATTAAAATTAATAAAAGTACTTTTATTATTTAACAACTAATAGTGACACATTAATGGGATTATCTATTAAATTTAATATATCGTAAAAATATATATTATTTTTATTATGATTAATTATAATACATATATATATATATATATAGAGAAGCTTAAATAAAAATGATAAATGAAATTTCAGATACTATATTTCCTGGAATGGTAATAATATTTTTTTAATAATATTTTCTTTAAAAATAATATTTATTAATAATTTTTTTCTTTATTTTAATATTAAAATTATTATTATAAAAATAAAAAAAAGAAATTAAAATTTCCAATAGAATTATCATAATAAGAAAAATAAAAAGAAAATATTCATTAAATTAATAATATATAAAAAAAATCATAATAATTTTCAATGTCTAATATATAAGAAAATTAAATATAAGAAACACATCGATGTATATTATTATTTTTAAAAAAAAAAACAAAATAATAAAATGTAGATTCCTTTTATTATTGCACATCACACGGTAATATTATGGGTTGCCTTTCAATTAATGAAAATGTCATAATGTTTGATCCATCGTTATCAAATGCAATAAATATGAAAAAGTTATAAAGTAATAATATATATATATATATATATATATATATATATATATATATATATATATATTTATATATATATAATAAAAAGAAAAAAGAGTTATTAAATTTTAAGCTTGTATAGATATTAAAGACATAAATGAAGCTATTTCTTTAATATTACCTTCCAGAAATGAGTCTAATATTGAAAATGCTAAAGATTATATATTATAGATATGTTTATCACATATAGGAAATAAGGATATATATAAGAAATATAAGAATAGATTAAAGGAATTAAAGAACTAAAAAAAATCAATTTCGACCATATTTTTTAGACTTTTTGAAACTGATTAAAATAATAAGGAAATAAGTAATGATGATAAGAAAGAATTATTAGAATATGTAGTAAAATAAATTAATTAGAATGTTTAAGCTTATGAAGTAAATTTTTTTTTTTTTTTTTTAAAAAAAAAAAAATTAAATTCTTTTTTTTAAGTAAAAAATTAATTAACAAAAAAAAGAGTAAGTTTAAAATGGATAAATTAAAGATTTAGAAGTTTAAAATAAGGGAGAAAGTGAATAAATTGATGATGATGAAGAAGAAAGTCTTACTATTTTACCTTTTTTTGATATTTTATATGAAAATTTGATCCCGAAAAAAAAAAGTTCAGCAGAAATAGAATTAGATAAATTGAGTTTTTATATAAAATAAAAATATTTTAAATAAAAAATTTAAAAGATGAATGGAAAAAATTCGAATTTACACCAAAATTAGCTGAAAAATCATAAATTTTAACAGATAATGAATAATTTTTATAAATTATATTTTATGTTCCTTCAATGTTTAAGTTTACAAATTGGAGAATGATATATTAAAACTTAAGACATGGGACAAGTTTCTAAACGTAAAATAATATAAATAATATAAAATAATATAATTAAATATAAATAAAAATAAATAAAATAAAATTTATATATATATAAATATATATTTATATTTATATTTATATATTTAAATATAAATATAAATATTTTTTTATTTTTTTAATTAATATATATTTTTTTTTATTTTTTTTTTATTTTATATTTTTTTATTAATATATTTTTTATATATTTATTAGTTTATACAGAAATGTTGAAGAAGAATCGCCATTTATATTAATTATTTAAAATTTTTATGATGAAATTTTTGGTGCATATGTATCTGATGCACTTCATTGTGAAACTAGTTTTTATGGAACTGGTGAATGTTTTTTATTTAAATTAGATAAAGATATTAAAGTTTTCAATTCTACTGGTAAAAATGAGAGTTATATTTATTCAGATTTAGAAGGTTTTGCTATTGGATGTGGTGAATAATATGGTCTTTATGTTAACAAAGATCTTTATAAAGGTTAAAGTCATAAATGTGATACTTTTGATAATGATATTCTATGTACTGTTGGTAATTATAATGATTTTAAAATTAAGAAAATTGAGGTTTATTTTTCTTTTTCTTTTATTTTAAATTAATTATAATTTTATATTATTAGATTTGGGGATTAGATATGTGATTTTTTATAATAGATTTTTATATATAAATATAGATAATTTTAATATTAAATATTTTATTTTTTTATTAATGAAAAAAAACAAAAACAACAGATAAATAATTTTAATTTTTTTTTTTTTTTTAAATAATGTAAGTAAATTTTTGTTTTTTTTTTTTTCTTTAATAAAAATAATTTTTGTCTTTTATTAAAAAATATAATAAAATGTACACTGAAAGTCAATATATTGAATAAGAAAAATAAAAAACTGAAAAATTAAACAATTTTTTCTTATTATAATAAGGTTTAAGAAATAAACATTAAGTATTTAAATTTTTAGATAATAAATTTTAATCAAATTAATATAAATTTTCATAATCATGTCCTAAGTTTTAGTAATAATCTAACAGAAAATTATTTTTTACAGAACCTTAATTGTAAGAAAAACAAAATAAATAAATAATCTAAAAAACATAATCTTCATTTTATTAAAAGAAAATAAATACAGCATCAACTAAATATTGTACAATAAATCATTCAATAAGTGAAAAATAAGAATAAAATTATTAATAAATAAAACAAAGTGAATAAAATATAGAAAAAAATAAAGATAAAAAGATAATTAAATCTATTCCTAAAAAAAATACACATATAGAGATGGGAAAATAAGTTAAATTTAAAGACTATTTAAGGATTTTATAAACGAATTAAGAAAATCCATTAGAAAATCATTTTTAACATATAAATAAATAAAATTATATAATAAAAAAGAGATATAGTTAAAATGCATAAAATCAATTATTAAATAATATAAATTAAAGCGCAAACTAATCGAAAATAAACATTTCATTAAATTCAAAAAATATGAGTTCTTAAGTTTAATCGAAAAGTAATTTAAATACAAAATCTTTAATTAGTTATATAAGCTTAAATTCTTCGAAATAATTAATTAAATTTAAGCAATAATAATATAGTAATACTTATATAGAAAAGAAAATATCTGCAAACAAAAGAATCTCTGTATTTGCTCAATAATAATATAATTATTAAATTTAACCTTTATGTAACCTAAATATAGAGGAATAAAGTAAACTGAATAATATTTGTTCGTTTTTTTCAGATTTTGCCAATAATTTGAAATAATTAGAAAAGTAATATATATACATATATATATATATATATATATATATATATATAAATTTATATTTCTATAATATATTAGTTTAAAATAATCTAAGAAACGAGCCGTTTAAGTACTTTAACGTGTAAATGGATGGCAAGAATTTATGAATACTATTTTACTTTGCGAAGGTGGAAACGAAATTAAGAAAGAATATGATTTCTAGATTAGCTTTTTTGAGGAAGTTTTAAAGTAATATATGTAAAATTAATAATTATAATAGGTTAATAATAATAATTAGAAAAGAATATAAATAAGTTATATGGGAAATAAAATTATTGTATGTTTAGATTTGCTATGGGATAATTATATAAAGTTTTAATATTTAAATAAAAATTTATTAGATTTTATTGTAACAAAAGAAAACGATTTTTTTAATGAATAAAAATCAAAAATTTTGGATGAAATTGTTCAAATTAATAAAATTTAAACTAATTAAATGAATAAAAATAATTATAGTAATAAACATTAGTCAATTTTAAATTAAATACCGTAAAATATATAACATATTTTAGATAGAAAAAAATATTTAAAATAAGAAATGGCTTTAGAAAAATTAAATAAAATGGAACATTAATATGGAAATTTTCCATATATTCTAACTTTTGATAGAATTAAAAATTAAAATATTACAAATTAAAATTAAATAATTAAAAATTACGAAATATATATTTGAAATTACTTAATATATATATATATATATATATATATATATATATATTTATATATATATATATATATTTTATATAGAAATCTATATTAGATATTTATTATTTTTATTTATTTTTAAAAAATGAATAAAATAAAAAAAAATTAAAATTTTTGTTTTTAACATTTATAAGAAAAAAAAAAAAAAAAAAAATTATATAAAAATATATTTTTATTTTGTATATATATTTATAACATAAAAAAGTAAGTAATTAATAAAGATAATAAAAAAAAAATGAATTTTTAATTTCAATAAGAAAACGAAGACGAAAACGAATGGGAAGAAGAAGGTGAAGAAGATGAAGAAGAAGAAGATTGTAAATATATTTTTTTTTTTTTTAAAATAAAAAAAAAAAAAAGATAAAGAAGATAATGAAAAAAAAAATGCAAATAATATAAAAGACAATGATACACAAAAACTTTATGATATTTTAGGAGTTGATAAAAAAGCAGATATTAATGAAATAAGAAAATCATTTAAAAAAGCTTGTATTAAAGGTGAATATAGACATCCTGATAAAGGTGGAGATCCAGAAAAAGTATTAATATAATTAAATATATAATTAAAAAAAAAATAAAAAAAAAAAAAAATAAAGTTCAAATTATTAAATCAAGCTTATGAAATATTATAAGATGCTGAAAAAAGAGATATATATGATAAATATGGTTTAGATGGATTAAAATAAGGAGGTGGAGCAGGAGGAAATGATCCTTTTGATATTTTTAAGTAGTTTTTTGGAGGTGGAGATGATTAGAGAAGTTAAGGATAGAGAAAAGCTAAACCAAAATAAATAAGTGTAGAAGTATCTTTATAAGATGTATATAAAGGTAAAGTCTTAAAAACAAAATTTAAAAGAAAAAGACCTTGTGAAAAATGCGAAGGAAAAGGAGGTGCAAATGCAAAAGTAAATTAAATTAACATAAACTAAATATATAAATATATAAATATATAAATATATATAATATATATATATTTTTTTTATTAATATATATTTTCTTTATATTTTATAATTAGGTTTGTACTATTTGCAAAGGATAGCGATATGTTATTAAAATGGTAAAATTAGGTCCTAATACTTATTCATAAAGTTAATCTGTATGCGATACTTGTTAAGGAAAAGGAGACATTATAAAAGATGAAGATATTTGCTAATGTTGTAAAGGATTAAAAATAGTTGAAAATGAAAGAGAGATTGAAGTTCCTATAGAACCAGGTGTTCCTGATTAATATAATTGTTTATTTACTGGAGAGGCAGATGAAGGAGTATTTTTTATTTTATTTTTAATTTAATATTATTCATTATATAGCCTGGAATTATGGCTGGTGATTTATATGTTAAAATTATTATAAAAAAACATAATGTATTTGAAAGAATAGGTGCTGATTTATATATAGATTAAGAAATTAGTCTTTTAGAAGCTTTAGGTAATGTTTATTTTGAAGTTAAACATTTAGATGATAGTATACTTAAGGTGGCTAGTCGAGATTATATTCATAATGGAAAAATAATGAGTATAAAAAAGAAAGGAATGCCATTTTATAAGGATAAATTTGATTATGGAAATCTTTATATTAGATTTAAAGTTATTTTCCCGAAAGAATTAAGTCCTTAATTGATGAATTCTCTTAAATAAATTTTACCCGGAAAATAATAAAATTTAATTAATAAAAATAAACAGTTTGAATATATGTAAGATTTCCATGAATGTGATATGAATTAAAATCCTAAAGGGGGATGTATATATAATATATATATAATATATATATATATATAATATATATAATATATATTATATATATTTATATATTATATATATTATATAATTATATTAAATGTTTTATATATTTATATATATTTTTGTTTTTCAGAACATAAAAATGCAGAAGATGATGATTATGAAGATGCTCAAGATGCTCATTAAACTTAACATGTTTAATGTGGATAATAATGATTTTTTGTTATTATTTAATATTTTTATTTATTATTTTAAAGATTAATTTGTTATAAATATTTTGCCGATTAAAAAAAAATTAAATAAAATTTTGTTTTATTAACTATTATATATTAAAAAATTAAATAATATATGTATATATAATTTTTTTTGTTTAAATATAAAAAAATATCTATTTATATATCATTAAAATATATATATAAATTTTTTTTTTATATTAAATATTTATAATATAAATTAACTAAAATTTATATAAAAAAGTTATTATTTAAATCATATATATATATAAATATAAAATAATTAAATATATATATATATATATAATATATTTAATATTTTTAAATTTAATACATTTTTTATATCTTTACAATATATAATTATTATATTTTTTTTCTTTAAATTAATATAAGCTTTGATATTAATTTAATAATTTAAAGTTATATTATTTACTTTATTTAGGGTTTTGTAAAAGTATAAAGTATTAATTAGCTTTTATATAAATAAAAAGTATAAAATATGTTTTATATAATATTTATAACTGCTTATATTTATTTTTTATATTAAATACATATACATATTTAATAAAAAATTAATTAAATATTATTATTTTTTAGTTTTTCATAAAATAAATTTAAATTCAAATGAAAAATATAAAAAATCATATTTTGAAATAAAAGATATATATTTTTATTAATATAAATATAAATATTGAAAAATGACTATTTGTTTACCAAATGTGTTTACCTATTTTTATATATTTTCTTTTAAATAAAATAAAAAATATAACTTTCTTTTTAAATAAAATTCATTAAAAAGATTTACATTACATATAATATGAGAGTAATTATTATAATTATATTAAAAATATAAAAAAAATTGTTTATTCTATCCAGTATTTAAAGAAATTTTAATGAATATATATAATATATCTACAATTAAAATAAAAATCTATCTAAAAACTAACTAAATGAATACTATAATTACAAATATTTAATTAAAAAAATATAATTAATAATATGATTCAAAAAAGTACAGTTTATAACTTTTTTAAATATTCAAGAAATAATTATTTAAGAATTTATAAATAAAAAATAATTTATATTTTTAAAAAAATAGAATTTTTATTTTTTTTAAAAAAATAAAATAAAAAAAAAAATATTTTAAAAAAATAAAAAATAAAATAAAATATATATATATAAATCTAACTTATAAAAAATAATATATATATATTTTTTAATTTTTATTCAAATTATATATATAAATTTAAAAAAAAAACATTTAATTATATATAAAAAAATGTACTAATAATAATAATAAATAACTACTTCTTAATTAAATGATAGTATACATTAAACATATGAATTTATAAAATAATTTATATTATATTTTTTTATACAAAAAAATAAAAATATAGGAGCATATCAAGATTATAGATAAAGAGATTAAGTATATGTAAATGAAAGAAGATATTAACCAGACTAAATAATATAGTAACCTAAAAAATAAAAAAAAAAAAGCAAAAATTCTAATAAATATAAAAAAAGATAATCAAGATAAATACCTAATTATAATTATTCACAAGCTTAATCTTAAAAGTCTTTATAATAAATAAATAGTCCTTAACTAGAATATAGACCTTATGAATAAACAACAAATACTCTTCGAGGAGAATCTCATGTTTATGAATAATATCCATCAGAATAATAATATTAATTATATAAATAATCTCAACCTTTATAATATAGACAATAGTAAATGTACAATAGGCCAGCAAGTTAAGTATATAATAGACCTTCAGAATAAATATATAATAGGAAATCAGAATATGAATATAATAAACCTATAGAATAGATATATAATAGGCCATAAGAATTATTATATAATAGACAATAAGAATAAATATATAATAGAACAACAGGATATATACAAAACAGACCTACTCAGTAAATGTATTATAGAATTCCATAATAAGTAGTTAATAGACCAGAATAAGAACAAATTAAATCTCCTAAAATAATATATAATAGACCTTAAGAATAAATTATAAAAAGACACAATAGTAGATATTTAGAAGAAGAATAATCAAAACATTATAGATAATAATAAAGATAAGAACATAGAATGTTTTCTCCATAAAATCATCCAGGAATGTAAAATATGAGATATTCTTAGATATAATAAATACCTTAAATGAATGAAGGATAAAGAATAAATATAGGACATGAAGTATAAAAAGAAAATATATAACCGCAAGCAATTAATTATTTAAAACCTTATTATGTAAATAATAATAATTCAAAATATAGTGAATATTAAGGTAATAAAAAATTAATTAATATATATTTATGAATTATATAAATGTATATATATATATATTTTGTTTTTTCTCTTTTTTTTTCTTTTTTTTTTTTTTTCGGTTAAAGATAATTATTAACCTTAACGTATCAAATATTAAGATAATTATAGTTTTCATAGTAGAGTTCCATTGTAAAGTAAATAATAGGAATATAATTCAATAAGTAATTTTGAATAAAACAAAAGACATTTTAATAAATATAAAAATTATGGATAAGATGTTGATAAATATATGTTAAATTATGATTATTAATAGACTAATAGTATGAGAAAATACATGCATGAGTAAGAAGATGCAAATCCTTATGATATTAGATTTAAATATTAATAAGCATAAAGTAATTTTTATAATGAAAATAGTATTAATGATAAGTCTTATTATAATGGACCTATTTATATATAGAATATTAGATGTTAAGAGTATTATTAATAATATATATATATATATATATATTATTTATTTATTTATCTTTTTAGATAATAATAACATTTAGCCTCTTAGCCTATTTATAAAAATGAATCTCGTACTGTTAATTGATTTTATTTTTAATAAAATATTATATGTATGATAATTTATCATTTTTTTTTTAATATTAAAATATAACATTTATTATTTAATTATATAATAAAGAAATTATGTTTTTTAATATTTTTTTTTAAAAATAAATATATATATATATATATATATATATATATATATATATATATATATATTAAATATATAATATTTAAGTTTTTAAATATTTTTTATTTACTTCATTTATATTTATTTATAATGGGTTAAGAATTTGGATGTTGTATTAATCGAAAAGCTTATAAAATAAAGAATAATAATGGATAAAAAAGCAATTAGATTAATACATATATAATAAATTCCAATTTTAATTAATCAAATAGTTTATTTTAATATATTGATTAATAATAAACTAAAAGCTAGTAAAAATTTTAGATTACTTATGATTTAAAATATCCTGTTTTGGATATAAATTCTAGTATTTTATCAGAATTAAATTAATCTTTTTTTGTTAATGGGGAATATATGAATGTAAAGAATAATTCAGATTAAAATTGTAATCAGATATTTATATAAAATAACAATCATAATTAAGAAATAGCACCAAATTAAAATAACTTGTTTAAGTTTATTAATAATAACAATATAATATAGTTTTTAAATTAATATAAATGTTTAATTAATGTAAATTAAAAATAATATAAAGGTTTTTTATTTTTTTATTTAAAATAAAAAAAAAGTAAGGATTTTTACCTAATTTTATATGCCCAAATCCTTTTGTAAAGGAAGAGTGTATAATTTTATATTAAAAATAAGATTAAAAATTGTAAAATTTAGAAATCGAGTTTATTAGGAAGTCCTTTTTTTTAGAAAAAAATGGTTATTTATTAAGTTATGATTAAATATATAGTTTCTTTAAAAAGTAAATTATTATTATTATTTTATAAAAAGCATACTTTTAATAATCAAAGAAAGAAATTTTTAATAGAATTGGTATTATATAGGATATTGTTAAGAAAATTACAATTAAATTTCTATTTTTTATTACGAGATTAAAAATTTAGCTTTAAATTAAGCTTTTTTTCGAGTATATGATTTCGAAAGTATTTTTTTTTTTTATTATTAATAAAATAAACACGCCAACCTTCCCCCCCCCCCAAAAAAAAATAAAAATAGCTTTAAATAATATAAATATATCTAATATTTAAAAAAGTACTAATAATTTTTCAATTGAAGATAAAAATTTTAAAGGATGTATTATTCTCTTTGATGAAAATGAATTAAATGACGATTGGAATTTTTTTATTTTTGAAAAAGGAAATTCATGCCTTTATGGTTCTTAGTTTTTTGTTTATTAATTTGATTTTGATATTTAATAAATTGATAGTAATGAATTTAGTATAAGAATAGAACGTTTTTGTCTTACATAAGTATTTTAATGTTTATATATTTTTAAATTAATAAATATTCTATATACAAAGGAATTATATTTATGTGGAATTATATCAGATTTTAGAAAAAAATGTTTATATTTATTATTTTAGAAATAATTTTAAATGTGATATTTTTTTTTATTTTATTTTTAATAAAAATAAATATGAAACTAAAATTATATAAAAATATATATATATATGTAAATATATATATATATATATATATATATATATATAAAATATATCATTTTATAATATTTTTTATAATAAAAATTATTTGTAAAATATAAAAATATATATATTCCACTCCCTTATATTATAATAATGTTTAGTTTTTTAATGTAAAAATAAATTATAATAAAAAATAAAGCGAATTTTTTATTAGTTTAAAAATTTTATTTTTTATAAATTAAATATTTTTATATTTAATCTTTAAATTTTTCATTATATAAAAACTATGTGTATGCTTTTTTTATATATAAAATAAAAATAATTTAATTTATAATAAAATTATTGAAAAAAAATAATTTAGTTGTATTTTAAATTATATGAGTATACATACGCTTATAAGTCTCATTAAAACTTTTAATCGGATATATATTTCAAAATATACGATAATAATGGTATGATTTTACTTATGAATTATAATATAAAAAACTTTTTTTTATATATTATATTATACGATGTTTATAAATATTTATAGTAAAACTATATATTATATGGGTGTTAATAAAATATAAAAATAAATAACAAATATTTAATAATTATATATATTTATAAATTAAAAAAAAGAATAATTAATTAAAAAATAAATACTTTTTTATATTGAATATAAATTTTTTAAGATATAATGATATCGTCTATGTTAAATATTTTGTATAAAACACAAACAAATTTTTAAAAATATAAGAATAAAATTATTTTATATCGTAAAATATTTTATTTATTAATAATAAAATAAAAAAGATATATATTTTTATTTCAAATAATTTGAAAAATAAAAGATAAATTTATTTTATAAAAAAAGAAATTAAGAAAATATAAATAAAATTAAATAGAAAAAAAAAAAAAAATGAAAAAAGAATTAAGTTGAAAATAAACATATTGAAATAAAAATATATAAAATACATAAAAGAATTATATATAAATATAATATATATATATAATTATAATTATATAAAAAAATATATTTATTTATAATATATTTAAATATATTTTTTTTATTTTCATATATATATCTATTTAATAATAAATAATTTTTTTATTAAATATAACACTCTTTTAATTTATTTAATAAATTTAATAAAAATATATAATTTTAATCTTAAATAATTAAAAACATATAATTTAAGTTATTATAAAGAATAATAGGAATATCTCATTTTTATTAAAATACATATCTTTTTTAAAAAGCTATTTTATTGATCAATATTTCCATTGATTTATTTTTTTACAATAGCACTTATTATTTAAGGAATATCAATTTTAAAAACAGAAACCCATTCATAATTTTTTAAAAGCACATAAATCTGATATATTTTTCAAACATTAAATATATCTATTTTATCTCTGAAATTACAATTTATTTTAATTTTATTGCCTATATTTTTTTTATATCCAATATTCATAGCATTTACTTTTAATTTATTTGATTTGTTCATAGCCTTAAGCTTTTAAAGAACCTTTAATACATCCCAAATCATCAATACCATATTTTTACTTAGCTTGTTGATGCTTCATATTTATCCATGATATGTTCACAGACTACTCCTTTTCCATAGAATGTTTTTTTTCATAGAGGATTTTATTTCAGCATAGAAGTCTATGTCTCTTAAAATATTAGCTAGGGCTCTCCATTAAGAGTTAGCCATTTAGGTATATCAGTATCCATATAACTCAAAATATGAGTAATTTCATGGATAACTACTTCCATTAAATCTTCAAACTATATAAGATCGTTAAATTCTTAACTTGCTAATAAACCTAAGTTTAAATATTAACTTCACCAAGAGTAGGTCCTTAATCATTCAAAAATTAACAGTAACTAGATATAGCTAAATAATCATCAAATTCTTTTTTTTTGTTTGTGTATTATACACATATGTGTAAATCAGAGCTATTTACCAAAATTATGTCCTTTTTAAGGAATAAGTACTTCCTTACTTTTGGAAGGTATCTTTATTTTATTCGGATTTTGAAATTATTTTAATAAACGAGAAAATAGTAAATTCATAATTTTATAGTTTTTTCAATGTTATCAGTTAATTTTTTATTTTAATCATTAGATGTTAGTTTTTAGAAATAAGGCATATCATAGCTATATGGTAATTACAATATTACGGGATTATTTATATTGTATATTACAGATATCAAAATATTATACATCAGGAGGGATTAAATTGTATTTAAATACTTTTTTTTTAGTAGTAAAATTGTTTAAAGCATTTTTAGACAAAAAATATGCGTTATTATTAATAGGGTGATTATAGTTTTTTTAGTTATATATTTTTTATTTTTAAAAATATATTTATTATATGTTTTGATAATAATTTTTTTATTTATTAAATAAATATTAATATTTTAAATAAATGTATTTTAATAATCAATGATTTTACAACCATTATAATATAATTTAAACTATAGATTTATTATTTAATTTTAAATACATTAAATAAATATTAATCATATAAATACTATAAGATAAAATTACCATTAAATTAATTTTAATATAGTATATATTATAAATTTATTATTTAATTAAAAAATAATATAGAAATAATAATCAAATAAAAAGTTATATAATTAATAATAAGTAATTTAATAATAATTATTTTAAAATTGATATAAATATAAAAAATTAAATACAGATATACAAGAACAAAGTTTTAAATTCGAATTATTTTTTATATTCAAAAAATATAAAGTTTTTATTATAAAAACAAATATGAAGATATTTTATTTATTACAATTTTAAAAAAGAAAAATATATTTTATATTATAAATATATAAATTAATATTAGAAATATTAAAAAAATTAACAAATAGAATGTACAAATTAAAATATAAAAATTATATATTCTTTATTAAATATAAATTTGTAAAAAATAATATTTTAACTGATTATATTATATATGAATCAAAATAAAATAATGCTTATTATAGATTATTATAAGTGTTTAAAAAAAAAATCAAAATTAAAGAGATAAATTAAAACAAGAAATGTTTTATAAAAATACTATAATAAAAATTAAAATTAAATAAACATTTATGTTTATTATTTATATAATTTACACTATACATTTTTATGTAAAATTTTTAAATAATTAAAAAAAATATTTTATTGTTTATTTTTAATTAACTAAATGAAAAATTTGATTACATAAATATAAAATAAAAATATATATTAAAATATAAAAATAAATGTATTTAAAATTAAAAAAACAAAAAAATCTTAAAAAACTAAGAAAAAAAAAAATATAATTACAAAAATAAAATTAAAAATAAATAAAAAAAGTTATCAAAAAAAGAGATATAAAAAATTATATAAAAACTATAATAAGAAACTTAAATAATATTTTAAAAAAATATAAAAAACAAATTTATCATTATATTTATATATATTTGTATTTATATTTTTATTTATATATATATTTTATATTAGATTATATTATATTAAACATTTTTAAAATTAATTAGATACATATTAATTTATCTAAAATAAATATATGATAATTTTTTTTTATATTTTAATATTTTTTTTGACTTTTTATATAATTAATTTTTTTAAATTTTTTTAATTAAAAATAAAATTGATTTTTTTTAATATAAAAATATACCATCTTTATATAATACAAAAACTTTAATTAAATAATATATTACAAATCATTAAATAAAATATTAATTATTTATATTAAAAATTAGATATAAAATAAATAAAAAAAATAACATAAACATACTTATTACAATTTTATTAGTGTTAAAATAAGTATAAAATAATATACATAAAAATCTCAAGAATATATGAAAAAACTTATATTAACCTTTCTATTAATAAATTTTATTTTCGGTCTTAAAGTCCTTAAACACAAATGTAGACACGATAAAATAAAACAAACATAGAAATACGACTCACTTCCTCCTGTGGAATCCATAGATTTCCGTAATTTACAAAATAAAAAACCCCGTGATATGTTAATAACCTACGATATGTCTTTTTTCAAAAAATTACCTAATAATGATTATAATTAAAAGTTAATTGCTACTATCGAGAAAGCTTTATAATTAGCAACTGATTATTTTTCTCGTTTAATTAAAATATATCCAAAATCTCAACAAAATATGAGATATATATAAAATTAATCTAAATGTGGCGAAGTAATTATTACATAAGTAGACAGAATCTAGGGAAAGAACTCTGATTTACATCTATATGTATCATATTCAGAAGTAGTAGATGATGATTATTTAGCCTAAGCTATTTGGTGTTAATTCTTGTAAGGTTTAGGACCTACTCATGGTGAAGTTAATTTCAATTTAGCATAATTAAAAAGTTAAAATATTAGCGATGCTATCTAATTTGAAGATTTAATGGAAATAGTTATCCATGAAATTACTCATGTTTTGGGTTTTATGGATACTGATATACCTAAATGGGTAACTTCTGATGGAAAACCCCATGTATAACCTACAATCAAAGCAACTATAAGGGGAGTTGAAAATTTACTAATCAAAACTCCTAACGTGTTGAATTTTGCTCGAAAATATTTCGGATGTCCTACCTTACTTGGTATGCCTCTTCACAATTAAGATGGGATAGGAACTGCTAATTGTCATTGGAAAAGCTCAGATATACAAAATGAATACATGAATCCATCAACATCACCTACTTAAGCTTATTTTAGTGGTTTTACAGCAAATCTTTTAAGAGACACAGGTTTCTATGCTGAAATCAACACCTCTATGGAAGAATAAACATTCTATGGAAAAGGAGTAGGCTGTAATCATATCATGGGTTAATGTAATTCATCAACAAGAGAATATTGTAATCCTTAAACTGATGATGGATTATGTGATTATTACCACCATGGATCTTCTAAATGCCATAATGATTCTGGTTGTAATATTTTAGTTACCTACACAAATACAAAATGCTGGAATGTTTAAAGTAATTAGAACACATAAGAAGCTAGGTAAAAATATGGAGTAAAATATGGTATTGATTCGAGATGTTTTAACGGGTCTTTAAAAACTTAAAACTATGAACCAAACAATTAAATTATAGGCGAATGCTATAAATATGAATGTAAATCAAATAAATAATAAGTAGATATTTGGGTAGGATAAGATAAATAAACTTGTTAGAAAAATTCATAAAAATTGTAATATAAGGGATATAGTGGACATATTTAATGTCCGAAAAACATATAAGATTTTTGTAATTTTAAAAAATTTTGTCCGGGTTTCTGTAACGGAAATGGATATTGCTTAAAAGATAAATGTTACTGTGCTAAAGGATTTTCTGGTAATGATTGCTCTATTAAAAAAGCATCTTGAAATAGATTAGATTTTACTATAAAATTTGGAAAAAAAAATTATCTTTTTTATTATATGTTTATAAATTTTTAAGTAGAGGATAAAGAATTATTATTTAAAAAAAAAAATTTATAGATTAATAAAATGATTTTTTTTAAATAGATAAGTTAAAAAAAAAAATTTATTAAAATACTAAAAATTATATATAAATAGAAATTAGTCTAATTTAAAAATACAAAAAAAAAATATATTTGTATATTTATTTTAATAAATAATAAAATATTATTTTAAATTATAATAATTAATAAGAAGAATAATTAATATTATAATAAAAAATATATGAAAAAATAATCGGAAAGTAAAAAATAAAAAATATGAATTATAAATAATAAATATATATATATATATATAGATATATAAATAAAAATATAATTATATATATATATATATATATATATATATTAATTTATATTTATATATACATATATTATATATATATATATAAGATGTTATATTAATAATGATTTATAAAACTTTAGTAAAAAAATTATCTAATTTAATTTAACATGAAAATTAATTTGTAAAATACATAAATAAATTATGATATAATATTAATAATAAAAAAATAAATATTATTTATTTATATATTGTTTTAAATAAAATTAATTATATTAAAAAAATATATGATAAATATTTAAATAAAATGAAATAAATATTGAAAAAGTTATGAAAGATTAATAAGAATATTATAATTTTTAATAATAAATAAATATAATATAATAATATAAATATATAAAAAAAGTATTATATTAATTATATAAATAAATATATAAATATATTAGTTTTTAAATATTTATATTTTTTTATTATATATATTAATATATATATATATTTAATATTTTTTTTAATTTTTTTTTTTTACTTTTATCTTTTAATTTTTTTATTTTTTATTTTTTTATTTTTTATTTTTTATTATTTATAAAAAAATATATATAATTATTTTTAATTTTAATATAATATTTTTTCATATTTAATTCCAATGAATTTTTTTTCTTCACATCTTTCGAACTAACATTAAATGCGTTAATTGTTTTCTACAGTTAATACTTTAATTATATGAAAAAAACTATATATATTATATATATAAATAACTTTTAATCATCTTCATTATCTTTATCTTTTTTATAATTTTTTTTTTTTTTTTTTTTTTTTTTATGTTTTTACCGTTATCTTCTTCATTTATTAAAAATGTTTGTATATTAATATTTTATATTAATAAAGCATGATTTATTGATATTTATTTTTATAAATTTGATATTTTCATACTTTTTATTTAAATGTTATATTATATTATTTTATTTTTTTTTAAAAAAAATATTGTACTCTTATTAATATTTGTAATTATTTAATTATGAAAACGAAAATTTGTTCATTATTATAACAGTCTTTTTTTAAAAACTAGTACCTATTTTACTTATTTTTTTAAAAAAAAATTAAATATGTTAAAGAATATTTTTATATTGAAAATATAAATTATTACAATGATGTTTAAAAGAATTTTCTATGTGACATTTTTTTTTTAATATATAAAAAAATACTAAATTTTATTTATATCTTTTTATTTTACATGTATATAATATATAAATAAATATAATTATATTTAAAATAAATAAATATTATAAATAAAATATAAAAATAAAAATAAAAAAATTAATAAAATAAAAATCTATATATATATTCAATTTATTAATTAAAACTAATCCTATTATTTAAATTATTTCAGAATTATCTTTTATTTAAGTGAAGTTCTTTATAATAATTAGTTTAATTTATTCATCTATTATATTGTTAAAAAAAATATATGTATTATAAATAATATATATATATATATATATATATATATATATATTATTTTTTTATTTATATTACAGATTCTTTAATAGAAACCAACATATTAATTTTTTCTTCTTCCAAATCCTATTAATCTTTAATTTTCTTTGTCCTTTTTTTAGGTATCCAACTGATATCATATTTTTCAATTTTTGACCAAATATAACTTTCATCTCCATTATATTCTGTTACTTATTTGAATTTTAAATATGCCTTATAAAAAATATAATTCCACATTTTATGTTCTACCTAAAATAATATATATATAATTTTATATATTCATATATATTAATTTATATATCTATAAATATATACCTTTATATGATAAAAAAATCCTCCTTAATCACCTCCTTTATCTAATGTTTATCTATCTAATCCACAAATAAAGCAGAATTTATTTTCATCGTAATTTTTTTCATCTAGTTTATCTTTTAGTTCTTTAAACTTATCAATAATAATACCTCCAACCATATTAATTACAATTAAAACTAAAATAATATTCAACATATTATCAAATGCAAATCTAGCGAAATATTTATCTTTATAATTTTAATTTACTCCTATATATTCATCATTTACTAAATTTAAACTACTTTTTTCTTTTAAAAATTTTCCCACAGCCCCAGTTTCTTTAAATGTATAATCAAAAGTCTTAAAATAACACTTCCAAAAACTCTCACAATCCCCTTCAGGATATTAATCATAGAAATAAATGTAAGATACGATAGTAAAATAGTACTCTAAGATTACAAAGAGTAAAAAAGATAATCCTAGTTCTATTTTTGGCTCATATATGGCCTTTACTACATTCGAAAGGATGTCAAAACGTAAAAAATCGAACAGAAGACCTCCAAAAAGGAAAGGGTGATAAGTTAAACCTAATAGAGCGAAGATTAATTATGTAAAGTAGTATATAATATCGAAATCTTAAAGTAATAAATAAATTGAATAGAAAATTTTGATGAGAAAATTAAAGAAATTTTTTATAAAGAAAATAAATTTAGTTTTTTTTTTTTTTAGTTTTAACAAAAAAAAGCTGCACCAAATATTCCCAATTATTAAAGGAGCCCTTTTTAAAAGGAAAAAACTAACAACTATACAAACTAGAAAAAGATTAAAAATGCCAATCATAAATATGAATTTTTCAACATCATCATATTCTTTAATATATAGGAATCTTGGGTCTTATAAACGGGAATTATTTAATGCATTACTATATTCAGGGGAATCTTTGGACACATTTGGGGGTATTATTAGAAAATATTAAGAGTATGAGGTCAATATGATTAAGTTTAGGACGATTGCGAATAAAAAATTCATGTTTTCAAGTAGTTTATGATTGTTTACTATAAAACCTATGAGGTAATAACGATTTACTAGCCTCCGGATGTTTTCTTCGTGAGTCATTATGAGGATTATGGAGTCTGATTAGTCCATTAAATATGATAGTTTAGCTTTAGAGGATGATCTATTAACTTTATTATTAAAATGGTCTTTTACTTCATCAGATAGAGTGAAACATAAGGGTAGTTTAGGGAAAAAAATAGTCTGTAATTCCCCATCGCGAATGATTTCGATTTGGCATGTTTTTTAATGGAAAAAAGATAGAGCTTCATGTAATTCTTTTTTTTTTTCTTTTTCCTTTTTAATTTCTTCTTCTTCTTATTGTTTTTTTTGTTTTAAATTGCTATTAATTTCCTATATATAAAAATTATAAATTTAAATAAAAGATAATATATATATATGTATATCATTATATATAATATATGTGTATTTTCTTCATATATATATGTATTTCACCTGTAATGCGTTCATTCCCACAGATAATAAGCCTTTCCCTATTTTGCCTATATTTCCAAAAATGTTATTTTTTTGAAAATAAGCATCAAAACCATCATCTTCTTCTTATTTAAATTCGTTTAAAATAGAATTCATGTCATCATCATCTTATTATTCGATTTCTTCAAAAACATTATTTGATATATATAATTTTATCAAAATATAAATAAAAAATCCATTTTCAATTATAAATTGGTATTTTTCACTATTTTATTCGTCTTTGAAATCTATTTCATCTTCATAATTATTAAATAAGTCTTTATTATAGTCATTATTGGAGTATTTTTTCCATAATATATATATTTTTGTAAGGTTAGATGTTAATATTTACAATGGAATGTTCCTCATTATATTTCCTATGAAGTTACTTTTCTAGTCTTGGAATTCTAGTAAGGAATTAATTGTTATTAGGCATTTATATTTCAGTCTAGCTACTTAACCTACGTGTATTTTCTGGTTTTCGTCATATAATCTGGAATCTTCACCTAATACTTAAACTGCATATTCGAGAAATTTAGTCTAGGCAATGCAGTTTTAGTTCTCTTTACAAGGACCTTATACAAACTCAGTTAAAGTGTCGAAACATTACTCTATTTAAGTGTATGTTTCGGGTGTTATTTAGTAAGATATTAGTAGTTTTATTGTTAGAGAAACTAAATCGTAAGAATATTTAGAGTTAGTTTATTTTCTGATGTAGTTTTATAAAAATAAATTATGGCCTTCGCAAAAAAGCTACAATAGACGTAGTATTTTTTAAATAATTTAAGATTTATGAGAACCATTTAAAATAGGCTTTTATATAGATTAAGAATAAAGAATCTAGTTTATTTTACTAAATAATTTCTCACTATTTGATGAGGATTAAAAATAATCAAAAATATTCTTCTATACAGATTTATTACCATTTTTAAGTAATAAATTTAAGAATTTTAATAAATAATTTCTAAAATATAAAATTATATGATATTAATAAAAATTAATAATTTAATAAAAAAATATATAAATAATATATATAATATATATATATATATATATATATATATATATTTATAATAATTTTTATTTTATTAATATATTAATTATATTTTTAATTACAAATAATATGAATCGTTTTCGTTTTCATCCCAAAATAGCTTTAAAACTATTTTAGTTGCATTTAATTTATCTAATTAATCTTATCTTTCTTATAATTTTTTTTATAAAAAAATATCCTTTTATTTTTCATCTTATAAATTTAGTATTTTTTTTTAATCTTATTCAATATTTTTTAATATATTTGATAGTGTAATTAGTATAAATACTACCGATTATTTTGGTACATTTTTTTATTACCAGAATTCAATAAATTGCAAGAATTTTTATAACAAATCATCTGATTGTAAAATAATGTCTTTTTAATTATTATTTTATTATTCAACTTATTTTTATTATTAATTTTTTTCATTTTAATTAATATTTTTATCTTATTCTTTGAACATTTTTTAAATATTTAAAATGGAAACAGAGAAATTATTTGATTCTTTTTTGAGTATTTTTTTTAAATATTTACTTCCTTTTAATTTATGGTTTTCTTTCAAGTTAATCTATTCTATTAAATCTAATTTTTATTAAACTGATTTTTAAACCAAATTTATTACACTATTCTCTAATTCACTATTTTAAGCGAAATAAAAACAAATCAAAAGACATTCCAAAAATGGTCGATTTAAAATTTCATCAAAAGTTCTTATATATGTATTTTTAGTTTAAAAGATTTATATTTTTTCACATTTTATTTATTTCCCGACTTACACTAAATTATAAGGTAGTATTTATTTTAAATATTATTCTATTTATTGTGATTATATCTATATTAGTATAATTAAATACATATATAAAAATAAACAATTATATATATAAATATATATATATATATATATATATATATATATATATATATATATATTTATTTATATACTTATATTATAAATTCTTTAAAATTTTAAACAAAAAAATTCTGTCTTAAATCTAATATAAATATAAGAAATTTCGAGATTTATATTTTGATAATATTTTCAATTAAAAATTCTTAATTTTCCTCTTTTATTTAGAAAGTTTTATTTGAGAATTTTTAAAGGACTTTTTTTAATCCTTAGAATTTTTTGAAAATCGGATCTGTAATTATTTCGTTTTCTATATTTATATTATTTATTATTTTTTTGTTATTATGTGTATTATTTTTTTATTATTTTTTTAATATTTTTCCCAAAAAAACAGTCTTTTTTCTCAATTTTTGGATTGTATTTAACTTCACGTAACTCTTTTTATTAAAAAACTCAGTATATTTCCTTACTATTTCAATTTTTTCTAACTCTTCGAAGTATTTTTCATCATATTCTAACATAAAAGTTATAAATAAGATTATTTTTTCAAGCTCTTTTAGTCTAAAAACTCCATCTGAGTCTTTAAAATATTCATTTTTTACTAAAATAATAAATAAGTTTATAGTTTCTAATAGAAATTAATTATAGAAATTTCTTTCCTTTTTTATTTAGTTTTTCTAAAATTCATTATATTAATTTTCAATATATTCAATTAAATAATTCTATAATTCTATTATTATTTAAAAATCTTTCTTATAATCTTCTTCTTATTAAAAAATCAAAATATCATCTTCTTGAGACTAATTACAAAGTTAATTATCTAGGCTTTTATTTATATTTGATGGGATTTTAAAAAAACTATTATGGCTTTTATTAAATGAAAAAAAAACTTGTTTTCCTATATATATATTCATTATAATACGCAAAAAAGCAGCCATTAAATCATAATCAGGATTATATTATGTTTATTTTATTATATTTAGTAAACATTGAAAGGGTAATAAATTTTTAAAGTATTATTAGGTACTTTTTGAACTGTTTTTACATAAATTTGCAAATAAATTTATTTAACATTTAAAATATTCAAATTAATATTAATATATCTAATATTAATATATTATTATATATATCAAAAATATATTATATATAATTATATTAATTATTAAACCTCATAATTTTAAAACTTATTTAAAGGAATTTCAATAATTTAATTGTATTCATCTAGTATTTTAATTTAAAGCATATCTTGTTATAAGTTTTAATCTATTTAAAAAATGCATTATTAATGTATTGATTAATTTTCAAAAATCTATAAAATATATTAAATATATATATATAATATATATTATATATATTATTTATAATATATTTAATTTTTTTATTTATATATATTTTATATATTTATTTTTTTAGTTTTTTAATACTTCTTTAAATATATATTCTTAATTTGATTTAATTGAAATGTTATTAATTAATGTACAATGACTTAAAAATTATAAAATTTCTGGCTTCGATAAAGGTTAAAATTTTTTAAATTTATTTATTATATCTTTTAATACTGTATAATTATTTTCTTCATTATTTTAAATTTCAGAAATTTTATTTTTTTCTATTATTTTATTTTTATTATTTTCATTTAATAATATTAATTAATTAAATTTTTCAACTATTTTTATATTTTAGCAAAACATATCTTTCATTGAATTTGTCACAAAATCGCCATATCCAATATGAGAAACGAAGATTTTTATAAATTAAACAGTATATTCCTGATTATTTAAGTTATTTTTACATACTGATTTTAATATATTATATATTTGAAGACATATTCCATATTTTTTTCCAAAAAATTCTTCTTATAGTTTTTATAAATCTTATATTATATTAAAAATATTTATTTATTTATAAATATATATTAAACTTGTTTAAAATTTGTAATTTGATTCATTAGCTTAATTTTATTATTTTTAATTATATAATTAAAGAATTTAACCTTAAACTTATTAAGTTTAAGCAAATTATTCAAATTCTTATTATAAAGGAAAAAATTTATAAAGAAGCCAGCAAAGCATACCTAAAATACACTAATCTTTTATAATCTTTAATATAATAATATATATATATATATTTATGTTTATTTAAATACTGTTTATCTAGTAATACTTGCTGTAGAATATTCTTAATGTATATCAATATAAGAACTAAGTTTATTATTTATAAAAAGATCCAATTAGTTTAAAGTATAATTAATTTAATCTAAGCAATTTCTAAAAATATTTTTTTATTTCCATTATTAATAATCATCTTAAAATTTCTTTTTATATTATTTAAATATTTATATTTTTTTTTGTTATATATATTAATATATAAAATTATATCAAACCATTAAATTAAATGTTTATAATCCATTGAAAAAGACAGGAAGACTAAATAAAAGAAAATTACTGTCCCATAGCTCTTCGAAATTTGCTTTTCTTATTTTAAAAGTATTTATTTTTGTAACTATTATTTTTAATATTATATAAAAAAATAATTATTATTTTTACTATTTTTTTCCATAATAGGAATTTAATAATTATTATTATTTTATTTGATTTATTCTTTTTTATTTTAAATATCATCATCTTCTTAAATATTAATATCTCTATATCCAATCCACAATCCAGAATTAACATTTAAGATTCGAAAATAACTATCTTTTGTTATAAACTTAATACTTTATTGATTCTCATTTTATTTTATAGGAAAAAACTTAAATTTATTTTAAGGTTCATCAATTATGGTTAGATCTAAATAAAATTAATCTTCCTATTATATTATTATAAAAATTATATACAAACATAAATATATATACATATATATATATATATATATATATAATATATTTATATAAAAAGTATATATATTTAATACTTTATTATTTCTCAAAGTTAAATATTATCCAGTAACAAAATGTTTTAATCTATAAGTATTTTCCCATGTAAGAATACCTCCTTGAAATATATGTTCAGCCTCAATTTACCATAGTGCATTTATTAGATAATTTTGTGCTTTATTTTTATTTATTTATTGATATCTTACTTAAAAGTTTTCATATAATTAATATTTTATTTTTTTTAATTAATCTTCTTCATATTAAAATTCTTATATTTATAATATATTTTATTCTGGGTTTATTTTTTAAAAATCAACTTAAATTTTATTAAAATTCGAATCATTAGATGTTTGTCTTTATAAACTTTACTAATAATAAAAAGGAAGATTTAAATCTAATTAATTTTAAGAAATTTGTTATTATTCATCATTATGATGACTTGAATTATAAGAAGACTATCTTAAAATATTATGAGATTTTTTAGAATCTAAATATGTTTTTTTTCTTAAACTATTAGTCTATTATTTAGAATTATCATTCTTACGAGATCTTTAAGAATCTGAAAGTTATTAATTTAAAATTAAACTTTAAAATGGATCAATTATTTAAGATGTTGAAAGGCAATACTTAAAATATATATATATATATATATATATATATATATATAAATATATATTTATATATATTTATTTATTTATTTTGTAATTATTTACATTACTTTCTGACAAGTTTAACCAAAGAACATTTCCTATATTTAAATATCTTGAATTTTCTACTTCATTTTATGAATATAAATTAACTCTATTATAGTATTTTTTATTATATATATATTTTTAATATTATAATTTTTACATCCATTTTCTTGGATTTTCAAGATTTGCGTAAATTTTTATACATGATTGTTCTTCTTATAAAAAAATTTCTTTGTCTTCTTAAATTTTTTAACCTTAAAAATTAGTATATAAATATCCTATACGATTATGTATTAATTATGTGCAACAAATATGAACTACATCTCTATTTGTGGCTATGTTTGCTCTTTATTTTTAAATAGTTAAACAAGGCATAAATTTAAATAATGATTTTTCATCTGGAAAATCAATTAATTAAAAACTTATTTTTATTGTATTAAAAAAATTAAAAAAAAAATACATATAATTTTCAGTTTAATCTTTAGTTAAAGAAAGAAATTTCATTGAAGCTAAATGTACTAAATGAAAAGAAGAAGAAGAAAATAATATTTGAGTTCCTTTTAATTTATTAAATGTAGCCATATTAGAATTTAAATCGCCATCTAAATTTTATATTAATTAACGAATGTTTTCTTTTCTTTTTTCTAAACCTTTATATTAAAGAAAATATATATATTTATATATAAATATATATATATATATAAATTTTATAATATATATTATATTTATATATATTTAAATATATACATATATATATATATAATTAACTTAATTATTTCCAA